TCATCATCTTGTCAGGCTTATTATTGAGTTGTTCATTTTATTCATTTGTTTCGTTTTCTTAAACAAGACAATATCTAATGTGTTATCGTTTTTGTCTGGAGTTATAATATTCACATCGTCAGTTCGGAAAATATTTAAGTAAAACTGCAGTCTTTTTTTTTCGTGAGTTTGATGATTAAAAAATATTTAGATAAATTGTTACTGGATTAGATAGGTATAGTAGAGCTGTTGGTTAGATAGAACGAAAAGGTGGGTAGACGGATAAATGGATGAAAGGAAATACATTGGAGAAGATGTAAATTTTTGTTGGATGATTGCACATGTGAAATTAGTTTGAAATCACTCAACAGCTAGTATTGTGTTTGTGTTGTCTTTATTATGTGCACTTACTTCCACTCGATACAAATGTTATTTGTTGAATTTGGGTGGAACGACTGAACGATTGATGCGTAGAATATATGCTCTTCACTTTCTGGTGATGAGCTCGACGATGATTGTACGTCGTCATTACTCGATCTTATTCGTAATTTCTATTATCGCAACTATTCAAGCTAATCTTATCGGATTAATCTACTTCTAATATTGTTATCATTATTCCTCATCACTGCTCATCTATTATCCATGCAAATTTGATTATTTCTGTTCGTTTCATTGTTATCGTCGCTCCTGTTTCGCTTTCATTATTATTTTCAGTATTTGATATTGTTACTGTTACTTGATTTAGATTTTATTATCGGTACTGTCGGTGGTGGTGGTTAACAATGGTGATTTTAGTATAGTAATATTGGATACAATAATTCTAGCAATATCTGTAAAATGTGCAACACACAGTAATGATGTCTATTATGCATTGCTAGTTGAACAATATGGATGTTATTATTGAATATGTTTTGATTTACTTGTATCAACTAAACTTCACCATGCAATATCTTTATGCTTTTCTCGACTTTAAAGTGCTTGATTTACGATGGCAGTTGAAAATGCATACTATCAGGATATTCACTTAAATTAGAAACCGTTGAGCAGTTAAGCACTTCGCAATTGTTAGGTAATTATCAATAAGTTTAATCCAAATTTCTACTCGCTTACTCATCGAGCATTACAACATCTTCACTTATAAACACATACGTAGACATTTGTAATAAATTTGTTTTTGATTATTTACCTCCGTCAAAAATTGTTTTGATTCCTTCGACTTTATTCTTCCGATCACTTTAGCTCTGTTCTGTTCACATTGATCAGAAATGTTCAGTTTTTCACAAAAACCTCAAATAACCAAAATACTCCCACTCCATTCAATTTATATTTTCAGTGCGTTTCTCCTCGTCTTTTTTTATCATCTATGATATTGATTCATTTTGAAATGATCACTTGCAGTTATTTCATTTTTTCACCTACTCGACGATTCTATCTACATCAATAATATTTTCTGTTATTCATTTCATCTTCGGCATCAGCAGCCCATTGCGTTGAACAACATTTTAACTACCATTTTCTTGATCAGTGGATATATTCAATCTGCAGCTGTTGCTGTCGCTTAGTTATTACACTAGTGAAACTATTATTAATGCTACTGAACTGATATTATTATAAATAATCCAGCTGAAAAAAATCGTTAAATAAGCAAACAAATGAATGAAATGATCAAAAATGAAGCGTTCACATACGGTTGAAACGAACGTAAGCGGTATCACGACATCAGAACTGTGTGCTAGTGATATTCCAAATATTGATAATGACACCAACAAACGTTCCTCATCAACACGTAAACAAAGATGGTCTTTTGCATTCAAACGTCGCTGGTTCTCCAGTGTTGCATCATCATTGAATTTGAAGTCAGCTGAGCATAATTTATCTTCTAAACATTCGTCAGCAACAACGCCGACAGCAACTGATAATAGTGACGTACCGTTTCTTGTGGCTCCAGCTCGGACTGTTCTTGGCATTAATCGTTTTGGTTTGTTCACAGTTCTTCATGTTTTAAAGCAGTGATCCTCGATCCCACTTGGCGGTATAGCAGACCGTCATTCTCCCCCTCTTCTTCAGCAAGCCACTTCTGACGTTCTAATACTTCTTTGCGACAAATCAGAAGACAATTGTGAAATTTCTTCTTTCATCAAGGAGTTGACTACCAACAATCTGTGGATTACATGAAAGGAATCAATTACTTATGATCAAACAAGCATTTCCGATTGCGATTTCACTATCTCTACTTAGTTTCTTTATAATGGCTAAATCGTACTGTGAAGTTAACGTTTGTCCGCGTAGCTTGAGAAGTTCATCATTATGAAAACAATCGCATAGAAGTATATATCGTTTGGAATATTCGTTTCGTAGAGTTAATTCAACTATTACATGTCAATGTTGGGCGCTCATCCAAATGGGCGTCCTAATTTACTGCGGAGTCATTTTGGAAATGTGCTCAATGTAACACTTTCGTTGAAACTACTTTTGTAATATTGTGTGATGTGTACTATTAAAAAATATTTAATATGCAAATATACGAAAGCTTCGTTCATTTATGAAAATGTTGATTTCCGTAAATGAGCGCAGTTTCGGGGTGGAAGAAATTCGATTCTTGCAAAGGTTTCTAATGGAATGCTTCGGACAACTTTGAAATTAGTACACGAGAGCGATATTGGATGGTGATAAAAAAGAAAGATTGGCTATTGTTTTTTGTTGTTCACAAAAGATTTTATCTTTTCTCCAGTAGTAGTTGTTTTATTTATACTTATTTGCACATTCCACAATCAGATGCTTTTTCCTTTGAAATTTGGATTGTGAATAGTAAATTATTAGGTTGGTGCATAAGTTCTTGTGCTTTCATTCAAATTCCATTATTCCGACGAAAGTCCACGTTTCCGGTTTCTGGAGGAGTGTCATATACCAATCGATAGCGTATTTTCTGCTCTCTGCAACCACTTTAGACGGTCTACTGCAGTTTTTTTCATTTGGATTTTCAACGTGACGAAATGAAATGTCAAGTGGACGAAAAAACGCATTTTCTTCAAGTGCTACTTTTCGCATTCAGTCACGGNTGAACGGGCCAAACCACAAGAGAACTGTGTGGAACGAAGTCATCATAATGCCCTCATCCGTCACACCATCAGATCATCAGAATCCGCGAAACCAGATGTCCACCCTAGGAAGACAATGAAAACCCTCGGAAACGTAGACATTCGCCGAAATAATGGAATTGAATAAAAGCGCACGAACTTATGCACCAACCCATTACTTATGCTCTAAATATTTTTGAAATGTGAATCTTGAGCTGAAATAATGGAAATAAAATTTGTACAGTAGATGACATCTAACGCAAACAATAGTCTACAATGGTTATCCACTTTATTTTAAACAAATGTTCCATTCAAAATGTAGGTGTTCGTTGCATGAATCATAAATTCCTATCTTCTTATCTCTATTACTCTCATATTGCTGCATACTAGAACCGACATCTAAATTGTCAAGCTGTAAATGTTGTCCCATAGCTAGATATGTCACATTTTATTTGATTTCATTTTCTGATTTGTTATGCAATAATCATAAACAAACG